CATGCACCCACATGCATCATTAATCCCAATTAAAAAAATAAAAGAATTTATGCCACAAAGCTTAAGTCAACACCATAGGCTCATACAAATGCAACAAATAGTCTAACACCTACAAAGCAATGAGTATTTAATTATACAAACTAAAAGGCTAAAGACTTTACTAATCAAGTTAAGTATGTTTACTCTTCGATACTGCCCCCTTAACCTCACACTTAGCATTTCCTAAAAAGTATTAAACAACAGGAGTGAGATTATACAATCTCAGTAACCAACGCTCACAAATTCAAGTATATAAAAGTGTGGCAAATACAAGCACGTAAGGCAAGCAATTACTATTAACAATATTTCAATATTTAGCATGTATTATAACACTATTAATCATTAATCACAAGCAATATAAGACAATGATAATAATTATGCAGGATCATATGCATTCCATCCTTATTCCTCTCCTTACATCTTTTGATTGAATCCATAGACTATCAAATCATATAAGATCAACTCATGTGATCAGATTAGACCCACTCTCTAATTGTGGGGGGTTATCCACTCGAGGTACTTGCTGCCTACTCTTGGACTATAGATTCCCCCTTTTGAATACCGGGGTGTCATAATTGCCATAACTTATACCATCTCCTGCAAGAAATCAATGATACTCGTGCTCACATATGCAGTCCTTGAGGAACAATGGGCGTAAACACATTGTAATCAAACATATCAACCATTGTGCTCAAATCTTGATGATGGTTACATCTCATGGATTTTCTATAATACCTTTACTCAATTAGGTAAATTCTTACTCATCCATGATCATGCAACATGCACATATTGCTCAATGACATGTCATAATTGTAAACCTAATTAACATATCTCATAATCAAGTATATACTATCAAGTCAATAATAAATAACTAATATTTAAATTCTATATAAATATCATAAGCTCATGTTCATTGACATATCATTAACATATACTTTAAAAATAATGCTTATGCACAATATCACTCTATCAAGTCATGTATTTACACTCCACATCCTCATACACGTGCTTATTAATTCATATGCCATAATCAATACTCACTAAGATTTTAATAGTCACAATATCATCATCATATCATGCTCAATAACCACACAACATGCTTGCATATCCACATTATCATTTTTATCATAATTAATAACATACAACTCATAATTGCACACAATAATTGTCTACAAGAATTTAACTCCTAGTTACCTCCACCTTTAGGTTATCAGCCCAAGAATATACTTTGGATTTTAAGGGAGCTTTCCAACAAGCTCCAAGCAGTCAATCTACAATTAATTATTAACAGACCGTATTGATGACTAATCATTATTAATTAACCATAATCACAGTTAAGGCATGAAACGCTTAAGTAAAGTCAGCCCTAAAACTCACTTTCATTAATTTATTTAACTTTTATTAAGCTTAAATAAATGCTATTAGCTAGTCTCATTAGCTTAAAGTAAGGTATCCCTTACTACTCATCGATCAACTCCAAAACTCAAGTAATCAAGAGATTATTTCTAAGTACAATTGCCAAGTTGTAAAAATTACAATTTAGGGTCCCATTTTTTCAAAATTTAAAACTCTCTAAAGTACCTATGCAAGTCAAAAATAAATATTTAACTAGTATGTAGAAGCATGGGATCTTAAAAAGAATCAAAACATTTGCATAATAGTTGAAAACAGTAAATTAATGCAAAATAAAGGTATGTGCCGTGGCTTATATATCTCTATGCTATGCACCATAGTAGAGACATCTTACGTCGTGATACATTGCACAAATTTGACAGCATTCTGTTGTTAAATGATAGCTTCAAGGATGAACTTTTGACATGTCTCATTTCTTTATACAATGTCCAATTGAAGTGATCTAGGTGTCTATGAAGAGTTTTCTCCTAGCTCTAGCTATTGAATTTGGTTTCACAATCAAATTATATTTCAGCCAAGATTTGGATACTTATTTCACAATTCCCTCATTTTTCACAATTTACACATATCTTGGGTGTCAAAAACTCATTCCAAGAGCTAAAAGGTTCAATTACACTTTAAATTATACTCAATAGACTATTTCAGACTTGTGCAATACACCACGTGACTAATACCACATATATAACATATTTTTAATGCTCAACTCCTTAATTACAAAAATAAAAAGGGAAGCCTTAAATTTATAAATCAATATATCATTTCATTTACTCACTCCCTTATGATGAAAAAAGCCCTCTTTTCTCACAAATGTGCAGCTAATCCCTTATGTCTAATATGTAAAATTCATCTTGAGATTATAGAACACTTGCTTCTGCTTTGTGAATGGTTTCAACAAATTAAGTTTGGCTCTCCCTTAACTTTAACTATGGACACTTTACATATCTCATCTTTTGAATCCTTGTGCGATTATTTCCTTATTAATGATAGCCCACTTGAGGAATATGATAAGGCGTACATGTAGCTTGTCTTTATTGGAATATGTGGAAGATCAGATTTGTATCTATCTTCTCCACTGGAACTCTAAATCATTTACAGGTCATTAGTTCTACTAGGGCTGAATACTGGAGGATTAATTGCTGTACTTTTATCAATTCTCCGTCTTAATTGCATTTTAAAACTACATGGTCTCCCTCTAATGTTGATACTGTTAAAATTCATTGTGATGGGGCTTTTATGCAACATACAAAGAAGGCAGCCATAAGAATTATAATAAGGGATAGCTCTTGTCATTTTTAAAAGGATGGCGGGATCAAATTCATGCTGATCCAAGCTTCATGTCTAAACTTCTTGCTTGTCAGAAAGCCATCCAAATAACATCAGATCTTTGTTATCGCAATATTGTCATTGACATGGACTGTCTAAAGCTATTTTGTGCTATCTCATCCAAGGATTTGTCTTATTACCCTTGGTTTGTTCAAGGGATTTTTGGTGATATTATTACAAGCCTTAAGTTTTTACATTTTATCTCTCTCATATGTCAAGCGAGATGGAAACTTAGCTGTCAATTGGTTGGCAGCCTCTTCTCTTAAGGATGTGGCTCCAAATGGTTGGATTTCCAACCCATCACTCTCTCTTTCTATTATTTTATCACATGATTCAGGCTCTTCTCATTCACTAGACCAGCAACCTGTGGTTAACAAAGATAAGGAAGGCATTGGATGATTTTGGTCTTTTTATTTTAGTTTTGTTGCTATGTCTTTGCCATGTTGGCCAATGACTCTTTCGTGCCTTTTGCTTCTTGTTTGTTTTCTTATAGACTCAGTTTGTTTTAGAATGTTTTCAAAACCGGACTGAATATTGAACCAAAAAAGCCAACGGTTTATGATTTGCATGGTCTAATAGAGTTGGACTAATGGTTGAATCAGTTATGAAATAATTAAATTAAGTGTGTGTGTGTGTGTAATAATCTAAATATGAGAAGTAGATATGAAATTATTACTTAAACTTAAAAATAAAATTAAATATTTTAATTTTATCATTACTTAACAAGCCACACGACACAACACAATATTAAATAATTTAAAAATTGATCATTTTCTTAAAAAATTGCCAAAAAATAAAAAAGAAAGAAAAAGAATTTTTTTTATTAGTTTGGTTTTTAAAAAACTGAACTTGATTCTCTGTTTGATCTCTATTTTCAATTCGATTGTTGGTTTAAAATAATTTAATTCAGTTCAACTCTTAAAATAATTTTTTTGGTTTGATCAAGTGTTAACCTGACTGATTCGACTCTCTGATTCAGTCCGATGGTTAAATGATTGTCGAAATCCTTGTAGACTCTGTTTACTTCAACTAGTAACGAAAATCTTTTGCTGGTTAAAAAAAAAAAAAAATCTTCTGAATTCAGACACATTTTACGCCCAAGGGGGTCAGCCGGCAACGACAAGACAGTTATTAGTCCTCATCACAGTAATTAGCGGATTTTTTTTTTTTTTTCCCAAGACCCTCTTCCTCCGGGGTTGGATTTTTTGGACTTCGGATTCAGTCCGTGTGGTCTGTGGTGTGGGGGCGTTACGACTTTCACATGTTTGACCGCGTGAATGATTTCTTTTCTTTTTTTTTTTAAAAAAAAAAGAAACAAGAAGAAAGTTCCTTACAAATGAGGATGCAGGCGTTCAACCGATGGGCCAAACAAGAATGAACGCACAAAATTGGCGACAGTGATGAAGTTTTTCCTTTAGTATAAAAAGATGAAATGGTTAACTTTATACAACTGCGTTGTTGTGTGAATTCTGTCGCTTAACTCATGATGTATTTAAATAATATTACATAGATATATAAATGTAACTGTAATATAATCTAAATAAACTGTATTAAAGATTAATAGTTATTTTTATCTTTAAATTGTATATAAAATGTTACAAATGTCTTTAAATTTAACTGTAAGTTAATTTTATTTTTTAACTTCAAGGATTTTTTTCTTCATTATCCTGATACTTTCTCAGCGTTAATGAGACCTGCATTATATTTTATATTATAAAATATTTAAGTTGAAAGGTAAAAATAATCTTTTAAACAAAAATTTATGAATAAAAATGACTCTTAACCTGAATATATATTATATATAATAGTGAGATTTATTGATAACTAACAGACGTTAAATGTTTTTAATGTTAGAGTGATGATAAAAAGAATATTTAAAATTAAATAATAAAATTAATTGATAGTTAAGTTTAAAAATATTTGTGAGATTTTATATACAGTTTAAAAATAAAAATTACTCATACTATATAATACGTTTGCCAAGTATGTATGTATGCGTGTGTGTGTGTGTGTATAGTGGTAGCAGAGAGACACGGTCCCAGAAGATGGAGAGTTTGCTGGCAAAGAGTGAACTAGGCACGAGAAAGGGGCAGTATGTTGGGAGTGGACGAATGGGCCGTGACAGCGTATTCCTAGCAACATGCAAAGCGACAAGCACCCGTTAATCAGTGGCGCTACATATGACGTCATGGATGAAGGATAGTGAAGATTTTGGGGAAACATTAAATGAGAAAAGTAAGTGATTTTAAAATAGGAGAATCAATTAAGGGGGAGTTAGATTAACTAAATGGAAGCAGCTAGATGTTAGGAGTGACGTTAGCAAGGAGTGTGAGGGGGCGATGGATGGAAAGCGGGGCAGAGGGGCCCACGTACCCCTTATGCTAGCGGCAGGCTTTCGCCCTCATCGCTTTCCCTTCACGTGGGAGTGGTGCCCAAGCCCCAAATTATATCCTTTCTCCGCATTAATGCCTCTCGCTCTTAGCCTCTGCTTCTTCACCATTCACTTCCCCCCGTAAAAGCTTCTGCTTGTCCGTACACCTCCATGGACGACCTCCTCCTCTCCTCCTCTCACTCTTCCCCGCCCTCCTCTCCCCTCCACCACAAGCTCCAGTTCTTGCTCCAGGCCCTGCCCCACTCCTGGCTCTACGCCATTTTCTGGCAAACCTCCCACGACGACCGCGGCCGCCTCCGCTTGTCCTGGGCCCACGGTCACTTCCACGGCTCCGTCCACCGCCTCGAATCCCTCCTCGACGACAACCTCAACGACGCCGAGTGGTTCTACGTCATGTCCTTGACTCGTACTTTCTCCCTCGCTCCCGATTCCTCCGCCTCCTCCCTCCCTGCAAAGGCTTTCTCCTCCGCTTCTCCCCTTTGGTTGAACATCACCCAGCCCGACCTTCCCTTTCCCTCCTGCGACAGGGCCAGGGAAGCTTCCCTGCATGGCATTCGAACCCTCATCTGCGTTCCCACCAATCACGGAGTCCTCGAAATGGGTTCGTCCGAGATCATCCCCAGGAGCCCCGCCATCATCCAGCAGGTCAAAACTCTCTACGGCTCTTCTCATCTCTCCCCCGTCGTCTCCCCCTCTCACAAGCAGCCCGAACCAGTTGATTTCTTGGACATCGACGACACCATTTCTTTTGCCGACATCGGCATTATCGCCGCCACTCCGGAAGTAAAGGATGAAAAAGCACCCGACAGTTCCTGCAGCAAGTCCCGGAACAAAGACACCTGTCTCCAGTTCAGGGTGGATTCCGAGCATTCGCATTCGGATTCGGACGGTCCGGTGATAGAAAAAACACCGCCCAAGAAGAGAGGACGGAAGCCCGGGCTGGGTCGCGAGACGCCGCTGAACCACGTGGAGGCGGAGCGGCAGCGCCGGGAGAAGCTGAACCACCGGTTCTACTCGCTACGCGCTGTGGTCCCGCACGTGACGAGGATGGACAAGGCGTCACTGTTATCGGACGCCGTCTCTTACATCAACGAGCTCAAGTCCAAGATCGAGAAACTGGAGTCGCAGCTCCGGAGGGAGCCCGCCAGCACGAATAGTTGTAGGAGGGTGAAGCTGGAAATGACGGACACGGTGGAGTCGACGGTGGAACAAGCCGGCCCCGGCGGAAGGGGCTTGAGGCTGGGGCTAGAGGTTGATGTCAGGATCATAGGGCCGGACGCGATGGTCAGAGTCCAATCGGAGAACAGGAACCATCCCGGAGCGAGGCTGATGGACGCGCTGCGCGACCTGGAGCTTCGGGTGCACCACGCCAGCATGTCGTGCGTCAACGAGGTAATGCTCCAAGACGTCGTGGTGAAGATCCCTCAAGGCTTGAGAAGCGACGAGGGCCTGATTAAATCTGCTATCCTCAGGAGACTGGATCAGTAGTAGATTCAATTCCGGGTTATCTGTTGATAAATTAATAAGTTGCTAGACGTTCTGTATAAATATCCGTTCCTTTTTCATTTTCTAAAAAAAAAAGTTATTTAATTAATTAATTTCCTGTGATAAGGGATGTTGTTGGATCAGTTTGGAGTCTGTGAAATAAGGAGGTCAGCAGGAAGACATGGAAGAAGCTCATGTATTAACAGTAAGAGTTATCACTAGAACAGAGAGCAGTAGCTAGTAGCAAATAATGGAGTTCGACTTGAGAAGATGTTAAATGATTGGTGTTGAGACAGGGTGTATTCTCTTTAATTAAGAGAATACATCTCTATCTCTATCTCAACAGTTGGCATAAAATTGTTAATTGTAGCATCAGTTTTGTTTTGTTTTTATTGGAAGTATGAATTCATCAACCCGACACTGATGGTGTAGATGCATATTCAGGGATAGAATCATAGATAGATGCAGCATAGAAGAATGGATTGGGTGAAAATGTAGATGTAGAGAGGGTTAAATGAGGAAAGAAAAGGGGGAGGGGTAAGGGGCGAGACAAAATAAGATGGGCATCAAAATCAGGAAGGGCAGGAGAAGCACTAAAAATCTCCACTAAAAGCGAGGGAGGGGGAAATCAACATTAGAAACATGTGAGGGAAATGAGCACAAGAAAGGCAACTTTAACGTTGTCAACAAAGGGGCAGGGAGGGGAATGAATGTGGAGAAAAGGAGGAGGAGATAATTACGAAATTGGGATGAGGAAAGATGTGGCGTGTTTTTCCAACACAAACAAAACGTAGGGGCCAGATGGAAAGAACCTTTGAGATTGAGAGAGAGAGAGAGAGAGAGAGAGAGGTGGGGACAACGTTTTATTGTGTTAGTTGTATGTTGGATGCCTCTCTCGAATGTGGAATCTCATCTGTGCGACTCCCCAACCTGCCCTCAGCCTCGAGCCTCTATTCACTCCACTCCCTCTCAATATTATGTTCCAATAATTAACAGTGTTTTTTTACATGTATAATTCCTATCTATTCCATTATTTATTTGGTTTTTATCATGCATTTATTATCATCATTTAAATATTTTAATTTTAAAAATAATATCATAAGGCTTGTTTATAGTAATAATTTAATGAACAGTATATTTAGTTTAATATTATAATTAGCTATCTTACACTGTTAAATTAAATGAATGGATGAGATTGAATATAGAGAGAAGTATCCATTCTCTTTCTCAATTAACCAAAAAAAAAACAAACTAATAATTTAACAATATGCTTTGATGAGTATAACGGGTGATAAGGTGGTGGCTGGAAGTAATATCTTCCAGTTTGCTTAATCATTTACTCTAACATGTATATGACCATAAAAACCAAAGTATAGGACATTTCATTTTTTTTCCCCAATTTTTATGTTATTAAAATATTTTCCCTATTTTTATTTTTAGGACAAAAAATAAAAAGATATTTTTGAATAATTATAATCTTTTTTGAAAATCACATCTAAAAAAAAATCCACCTACAAAATTTAATTTAAGCAATGCTTCGATGAGTACGGTGGTGGATAAGGCGGTGGCTGACGCGTTGGTGTTGGGTAGCTATGAGTGGTGATTGGTGTTGGGTTCGTGATGATCAGCTGTACATAATCGGTGACCTATAATTTGCAAACCCAAAAACAGAAAATCAAGTCAAATGAGAAAAACTTTAGATTGGTCTTTTCTTCATAAAAACGGACAAAAGCATAAACATGCTTTGTGACAAGCACATCAAAAACGGTTATCCAAACAATTTTATTTTTTAAACAAAAACAAAGAGTTTTATTAGAATAAGGAAGTTAAAACAAATTATTCTGCACTTAATTCAATTTTGTCCTAAAAAAGAGAGAAAATATTAGCCATGGACCTCTCGAGGGAGGTACTTTATATCAAAGAAGGACAATAAGATTTTAAAATTACACTACAGTCTCTTGATACTCAGTTGAAATTAAATTTTTATAGAAAAAGATGACATTACCCCTAAAGTTCAAATTAAAAATAAAAAAACCTACTTGTTAAAATCTGAATATATTGTCAAAAGTTAAATGAATATATGTTGATGAAGGACTTACCATTTTATTAATTTTTTTATCTTGTAAAAATCTCCGAATGTGTTGTTGTTAATTACGAATGAGTTTTCAAAACTCGAATGGCTTCTTGTTCATGCAGAGTGAACACTTATTCAATTAAATATGTGCTCAATTGTTCTATCTTGTTAAAGTTTAAATATATTGTTATTAATTATAAATAAAGTATTATCAAAATTCGAATGGAATATTGTTAATCTTTTACATAGGAGTTTTTTTTTTCTTATTATATATTTTAAATTTTAGAGGTGATTTCATCTTTTTTCATAAAAACTTAATTTCAGCCGAGCACTAAAGAACTGCAAGGCAATTAATTTTATAATCTTACAATCCTTTTTGATATAATTAATTAAATTATTTTCAGGGCGTCTCCAGCTGGTATCCCCCAAAAAAAAAATGTTATGTGAACCCATTGTTCTTCGCCGGCAAAATTAAATTCAATATCTCATCGTCTAAACTCTAAACTATTAATGTCGAGGAAAAAAAAAACTAGAGGTTTTTATGGTTATAGGTCATGTTATAAGATCAAACTAAGCAAATAATTTAATATTTATTATATTTTATATTATGATCAATTTATTATATTTGTTAATAATATATTGTTGCATATCAATGATAAACTGTTTATAAATTTTCAAATTTTTAATAACAAATTCCTAGTATATCAATGATAGGCCTCTTATTATATATCAATAGGAACCGGCTACACTCTCAAATATTAAAAAATTTGATCCATTTTTTGGGTGTAAGGTTTTTTTTTTCCCTGCCAGTAGGTAAATTTATCTGAAAAAAATATCAAATTAGCGTCAAAATTAAAATTCACGTCGTTATGACTAATTTAAGACATGTATGGCTCAATAGAATAGAGGGAAGGATAGAGGACTAGGAGTGAGGGGAGAGTAAAGTTTTTAATAATTCTTTAATGTATATTTGGATTAGCTTTTACTACAAAATTTCTGGTTTTATATATTAAAACTTACAAGCTGAAAATAGGTAAAAGTAAGTTATTATAACACACACACACACATATATATTTTATTTAAAAAAGTCAGCTTGGCTTCTGAATTCAATTCACACTTCAAAAGCTCATAAAAATATCTTATGAATAAACCTAGGTTTAAGACAAAAATCATTTCAGCTAAAAGCTATCCAAACATGGGGGGAAAAACATCCATCTTTTGATGCATACAATCTTGCTTTTGGGGAGTTGGCTTCCCTATATAAAATCTTGGTTTTCGGAAGTTGGCTTCCCTCTCCGCTTGAATTGTCTAAATTTAATTTGAATTGTTTAAATCTAATATTTTTAATTTTAAATTATTAAAATAAAAATGTATATAAATTTTTTTAATAAATATGTTCATTAACCTAAACAATTCAAATTTAAAATGAATAGTTCTATACATTTTTATTTTAATAAATTTAAAATAAAAATAAGAGATATCAACCTCATGGGAGGGAGGTATGGAGTAGGACTTCTCTCAATGGAGGGAAATCATGAGTCCATGACCTTCTTGGCTTGATGAGAAAGGAAAAGAGAGATACACTAATTAAATTGACTATTATAACACCATAGATAAATTTTGAGTTTTCTAAAGCCCCAAATCCAATCACAGAATTAGAGATTTCATTTGTAAAGTACAATATTCTAATATATTACTTAAGCAATTACTTTTTGAGTTCTTAATAGATCCAACATATCAAGTGACAAGTTATGTAAGTAAAATTTTTTATGATATTATTTTAATTGATTTTATTCTTATAACATAATGCATATTTAACTTTTTAATTTTGTTCTCTCTATTATTATTAATATTAAAATTAATTTATATTTAATGGCATTTGGATGTAATATTTTTTGAACAGACTATAAATAATGACGCTTGATCTATTCAAGAGTTTTTTGAATAGTAGACGGTGATCCATCGACTTCAAGTATAGTTTTAGGTTTCAACGGAAAATAAAAAATCAAGTACATATATAGGTTTCCATAAAATTAAAACACTCCACACAGGCACAGATATTTCTGTACGAGATATAGCAGTGGTCCCCCTCCTGTGAACATGACAGGTGGAAATTTTGTGGCATTTCATTGATCTTCTGAAAAGATCAAAACTTTTTGGCTCATTTTTCTGGTCAAATAATTTGAGAGTCATTTTTAGGCTAAAAACACCGGACAAAAATCTATTTTAATTTGAAAATTGATATTAAAATGATGGACACTAGCTGTATTTATATACTCATAATAACATTTCAAATTGTACGATTTATTTTTGAAAGAAGAAAACAACAAGATCATACCACATAAATCATCACATGCTTTTCAATTTTATGCAAATAAAGGGGGATATGTTAGATGCATCTATCCCTTTCTAAAACCATGAAATATATAAGCCGGTTTGTTTTTTTTTTTTAAAATTATTTTTTTATTTTTGAAAACAAAAAAATCTAAAAACTTTGACTAATTGTTTTCGATTTAATTATTTCTAAAACTATTTGCATTTTGTTTTTGAAAATAAAAACAACTTCAAGATATATTACATTTAATTAATGTAAGTTACAATTAACTTGACCAATTTTATCATAAATCATAATCATTAATTTCCTATAATTATTATTTTCAGCCTATTTTTTAATTTTAAAACTGTTTTTAAATCAACATAACTAAACAAATTTTCATTTTATTTTGTTTTTAAAAAATAATTTTAAAACTATATTATAAAATAGTTTTTGAAAACAAAAAATGAGAATAGAAACCAAACATACCCTATATATCTACCTCCTTCAATGTATAATTTATATATCTTTTTTTCCTGATTAGATTTTTAATAACAATTAACAAGAATGAATACATACATATAGTACAGTATAATATATTGAGATACACTTATTCATGTTAAATACATTTTAAATATATTTTGAGATACCCATGAGATTATGGTTGGTAATAATAGCCCCCACAACAAGAATTTGAATTAATTTAGGTGGGTGTTAAACTCTAAGTATCTCAATATATTGGGCAATGGAATAAAAAATATATAATATATTAAAAAAGAAATAAGACAGATATAATAAAACGATGCATGAATATACAATTTTTAAGTTTTATGGGGCACAAATTAATGATGAGGTGCTGTGAACAGAACGCATTTTCCGTTCTTCACATAAAGTCAAGGTGTTAATTAAAGCACGTGGATATATAAACTGATTTGGCATGAGGGACTTTAAACACAGTTACATGCCAAAAATGAGATGGAGACCTTCTTACTAGGAGTCTAGTACTAATTTGGTGTAACAGTGAAGGCCAAGCGGCACCAAATTAATGGCGACATAATCATATGCACAAATTGCGTGGAGAAACGTGCTTAGAGTGCAATTATTGATCGACGAATTGGCAAAGCTACCCCTATGTTGTCTGTTTCTCGGTAAAACAAGAGAGCACGGGATCATTCGTTGATGCCAATGTTGTCCCTGCCCCATATGCGTTCAATTTCTTTTGCTTACTCCTTCCATTTTAAATTATAAAATTTTTTTAAAAAAAAATTTTAACTTCAAAATATATAACACTTTAAGTAAATTAAAATTTTATTAAATATATTAATTTTAATATTATTTTTTTTTTATAATTAATTTTTACCATTCTCTTTTTAATATATTAAATGATGAATATTTTTAAAAGTTTATATTTTTATTTTAAAAAAATAAAATTGTTAGGTATATTTAATGAAGTTTATTGATATGCGATATTTTATTTAAAGGTGTCTTATTATTTAAAATAGAGGAAGTACTATTTTTTAAAAAATAAAAATTAAGACTCATATTTTAAAAAAATATTTTCAAGATTATAA